TTTTCCGTGTGCACCGAGGAGGAGTCGATCCAGGAGGACGAGGAACGAGGGGCGGATCCGCCAGGTTGTGGAAAGGGTGGATGTTGGTGGATTGTATGTGTATATATATATATGGGAATATAGGGACAGATTCTGTTTTTGAAAAAGGAATGAGGAGTTTCTCAAGTGGTCAAGATAAGTTTAGTGTAAATGGTGTTGTTTTGTATTGGGTGTCGTTAGGTGCATTTTCTATTTAAATTGAAAACTCTGGTGGTGGTTTTTGATGATTGGTTGCAAGGAATAAGATTTATAATAAGTAGGTTTCATTTTATTGGATGACAATCTCTGTCGAGATGATGTCTTTTTGATGGAATTGTGTAAATGATATTAAAAATCACTTGGAGTATTTTGAAAATTTTAGGAGAGAAATTGTGATTCTAAGATGCAATTTTTTCGTTTTATTGGCGGATGGCCAATGACAATCTCTGTCGAGATGATGTCTTTTTGAATTGTGTAAATGATATTAAAAGTCACTTGGAGTATTTTGAAAATTTTAGAAGAGAACAAAATTGTAATCCTAAGATGCAATTTTTTTCGTTTTATTGGTGGATGGCCAATGACAATCTCTGTCGAGATGATGTCTTTTTTATGGAATCGTGTAAATGATATTAAAAGTCACTTGGAGTATTTTAAAAATTTTAGGAGAGAACGAAATTGTGATCTTAAGATATAATTTTTTCGTTTTATTGGAGAATGGCCAATGACAATCTCTGTCGAGATGATGTCTTTTTGATGGAATCGTGTAAATGATATTAAAAGTCACTTGGAGTATTTTGAAAATTTTAGGAAAGAACGAAATTCTGATCTTAAAATGCGTGCAATTTTTTTTATGAATGATTTAAAATATTATTCGAGTATGATTCATCTTGACAAAGATGAAATTGAAGTAAATAATTTGACATTATTGAATTATTTTGAATAATGAGAGCAGAGTAGTTTCTCAGATAGTTAAAAACGTTCTTATCAGCGTTGTTTAAGACCGTGAAACGATTAAAAAGTGTGTTTTATCTCGTTGAACTGGCGTAAGAAAACTCGTTCTAGCTTCGACAAACACTTTAACTATTTTATAGGCTCTGCAAACTCGCGCTACCTCGTGCCTAGTATGCGTTTAAACTTCTTTACAAAGGAGATTTTAAGTTTATTTTCGAGATTTGTTACAGCGTGGAATGAACTATCCGATTTCTTTTTATTCCATTTATAATTTTCATTATTTTATCAGATAAAACAAGATAACGATTAACGAGATAAGTAAAATCAATAATAAAAATCCCATTAAAGATTTCGAATCTTTGAAACATCTCAATCACAATTTCGTTAATTCAAAATATCTTTAGACACGATTAAATAAATAAAACAAAACCAATTAAAATATAATATAAAAAAAAAAATGAGGATGAAGAATGCGCCATATTACATTGTTATAAATTGAATCTATACGATGCATCTCATCTATATTAATAGCTCATGATAGGTACGATTATTTATCCGATAACAATAGAACCTATCAAACTAATCTAGGATTAGTAATGATTTATTCAATCCGAATTTCGAACGGCTAAATAATTTAATTTTCGAGATGGAATAATCTCAATATACATAAATATCTTGCGCATACAGACATGGGAAACGGAAAATTAGCAGTAGATAAAATTAGACTCGATTCGAGAAATAGCGAATCAACGTTTCGAAAGCTGGAAATCGATTTATTATTCATTTTTCACCATCCTCGAGGGACCGTTGTATCATCTCTCAAAGCAAAGACTTTTGGAGCGCGGCACACGTCTGAGAATGGGTGTAAGTGTTACGCAGAGCGTGCAGATTAGGCCGTGCACAACTGGAGAAACGAAGTGCGTGCAAGCAAGCGGGCGCAAGTGCGCCAGGCTACGCGGCTAATTGCCGCTAATTATCGCGGTTACCGCGGTTCGAGCTCTCCTCTCTGTGCTTCCACCGTTGCCTTTCGTCTCCTTCGCCACCCTCTTGCGAAAATCCGCCCCAGCACTCGCTTCCAATTCCGTTTCCAAAGACTAAGGATATATTGTTATGTTCTGTTTATCTCCCGTTTCATCTTCTATTTGTCATCCGTGACGTTGGTACGAATTTTTTGGGACGATGTTGAAGGGTGGAAAGTTGCTTTACAGTGATTATAAATTCGTTGGATAAGTTGAGTTTGAGAGATTAATCTTGGTGAGGTTTGAGTCGAAACTTGATCAGTAATTTTACAAATTGATTTTAATAATTTTTTCCTTGTCCAAAGTAAATATTTATATATATTATCTCTCGTTATTCGCGAATAATTCTTTATTTATCTTCAAAAAATTATTTATCCTTTTCCTGTAACTTCCAACTCCTTTTAACCCTTCTTAACTCTCTCTCCTTTTTTTTTCTTCTTTTTTCTCCAGATTCCTCCTCATCTATTTATACACGTTTACTCCTATCCTCTCTGTTTACTCTCTTAGTTTCGTCTTCGTTCGTCTAATTAAACATCCCTCCCCTTCCCACCCCGAACGCCTTCGTTCGTTTCCGTCACTCTTGCGCTCCATCTCCGTGCTTCACCTCGGGCTCGTTACATTAATTAAACAATATTTGCGATTAATATTTGAGATAATCATCAGCGCCTCGAAGCAGCCTCCGCCGGCTGTTGGAGGATGCGGAATATCGCGCGTGCTAATCGGGTTAGCGCTTTCGTGAGCCCTCCTCTGCTTTCCTCATCCACCCTCTCGTGCACCCCTTCCATCAACATCGTAGACCTCGAAACTTTATTTTATTTCTTTATTACTTTATTCGATCGAATCGAAACGTAGAAGCCAACTTGACTATTTTTTTATTGTTATTCATTAAACTGTGAATATTCGTATATAAATTGTACCAATACTTTTATTTTGGATAGTTTAAATTTTCAAACCGACTTCAAAATCGTACTTTATTTCTTTTATTTCTTTATTTATTAAACTATGAACATATAAATTGTACGAATACTTTGGATACTTTGAATTTTCAAACCGATAAACTTCAAAATTGTATTTTATTTCTTTTATTTCTTTATTTATTAAACTGTTAATATTCGTATAAATTGCAGGAATAGTTTACTTTGGATAGTTTGAATTTTCAAATCGACAAACTTATTATTTATTAAACTGTGAATTCATATATAAATTATAGAAATACTTTACTTTGAATACTTGGATACTTTGAATTTTCAAATCTACAGATTTCAAAATCTGTAAAAGAAATATTTTATTTCTTTATTTATTAAACTGTAAACATTCGTATAAATTTTACGAATACTTTACTTTGGATACTTTGAATTTTCAAACCAACAAACTTCAAAATTATGTTTTATTTTTTTTAATTCTTTATTTATTAAATTGTGAACATTCGTATAAATTATACGAATACCTTACTTTGAATACTTGGATACTTTGAATTTTCAAATCTACAGATTTCAAAATCTGTAAAAAAAATATTTTATCTCTTTATTTATTAAACTGTAAACATTCGTATAAATTTTACGAATACTTTACTTTGGATACTTTGAATTTTCAAACTAATAAACTTCAAAATTATGTTTTTTCTTTTAATTCTTTATTTATTAAATTCGTATAAATTATACGAATACCTTACTTTGAATACTTGGATACTTTGAATTTTCAAACCTACAGATTTCAAAATCTGTAAAAAAAATATTTTATCTCTTTATTTATTAAACTGTAAACATTCGTATAAATTATACGAATACCTTACTTTGAATACTTGGATACTTTGAATTTTCAAACCAATAAACTTCAAAATTATGTTTTTTCTTTTAATTCTTTATTTATTAAATTCGTATAAATTATACGAATACCTTACTTTGAATACTTTAAATACTTTGAATTTTCAAACCTACAGATTTCAAAATCTGTAAAAGAAATATTTTATTTCTTTTATTTCTTTATTTATTAAACCATGTATTCGTATATAAATTTTACGAATACTTTACTTTGGATAGTTTAAATTTTCAAACCGACAGACTTCAAAACCGTACTTTATTTCTTTTATTTCTTTATTTATTAAACTGTGAACATTCGCGTATAAATTGTACGAATACTTCACTTTGGATACTTTGAATCTTCAAACTGACAAACTTCAAAATCGCATTTTATTTCTTTAACCATTCGATCGAATAGAAAAGTATTTATACTCTACTTTAAATAATTCGAATTTTTCCCCCATATTTTTATACATTCCAAACAAACGTACACGAAATACATCGCATAACTCAATTAGAACTAAAAAAAAAAAACTCATTATCCACAAATCTTTATACAAGAAAGGAATAATTATAATAATTTGACTCCTAATTTGAACAAAATTTCCCAAATCAACTATCCATCCTCACCAATCTCCTCCAAAAAGAGAAACAACTATCAAGCCAAGATCTATCTCCTCCCCAACATAATAATACAACAAAAATGAATCAATCCAATCAATTCGTTTAATCAATAATTCCTCCATTAATTACCAATTGCAGCACACCGGGTTTGGCGGCGGGTTTCAGGCCGGTCGAGCCGCCCACGTCGCTCTTCTTCTCCCCGCACTTGGCGGCGCAATTCTCGCCACCGTTGTTCGGCAACAAGGTGGTGAGCAGCGCGCCAACGTCCCTCACCTCGACGACGCCATCCCTGTGGACATCGAGCGATCACCGGCCTGGAAGCTTGCAGGACATGCTGTCCTGGTCGCCGGCCGGTTGGCCGGGTTCTCTGTGCGGCTGTTGCAAACCCGGGACCGGGGATCTTCACAGGAACAGCAGCCTGGCCGAGCTGAGGAGGAAGG